GGAGTGCAGTGGCCTCTCCCGGCCACCGCAGCCTTGACCTGCTGGGCTCCGGCGATCCTTCCGCCTCAGCCTTCCGAGTAGCTAGAACTACAGGTGCGCGCTACCACGCCCGGTTAATTTTTGATTTATTGTAGAGATGAGGTCTTGCCAAGTTGCCCAGGTGGGTCTTGAACCTGCAGGCTCAGGCAATCCACTCACCTCAGCCTCCCAAAGGTGTGGGATTACAGGATGAGCCACTGAGCCCAGCTCCAGAAAAGCTTTGTATTTCACTAAATTTTACATGTCATCGGTTGTATATCCCAACATATTTTCATAAACCACTAAGAAAGAAAACCACCTTGAGGCCAAGGTGGGAGAATCACTTGACACCAGGATACCTAGACCAGCATGAGCAACATAACAAGATTCTGTCTCTACAGAGAATAAAAAAACAGGGTGGTGGCACATGCCTGAAGTCCTAGCTACCTGGGAGGCTGAGGTGGGAGGATCACCTGAGCCCAGGGAGTTTGAGGCTGACGCGAGCTATGGTTGCACTACTACACTTCAACCTAGGTGACAGAGCAAGACTCTGTTTCAGAAAGAAAGAAAAAGAAAGGAAGAAAAAGAAAGAAAGAAAAGAGGGAAGGAGGGAGGAAAGATAGAAAAAAATACCCCCCTAGCTATAGCATAGTGATTTTTAAAAATTCATTAGAATTTTTTTCAAAGGAGGAATTTTCTCATGAAAAAAATATATGTATGGAATTTTATTATATATTTATTGAAAGAGTTTCTTTAACTTAGTTTGGCATGCATTTCTCTCATATACATCTCTCATGCATCTGTAATAAAAAAAGTATAAATGAAACAAATTGGCTTAGGTATTTATAAAACTTCACATTCTGAGTCTGACTCTTTGGACTCAACTTAGAGTCAAGTTTGTGTTTGGCTGTACAAAATCATCCTCTTTGCTGCTGAGAGTACTGGAGATGTAGCATTTAATAAGAGATGTCTCCATTCTTATCTCCAGGGTTCCTTTCCGGGCTATTCCATGGTTTCAGGCCTGTGTATGGGCAATGACAGCTATGGCTGACTGCTGCTGGCTCACAGCGATTGGAAGATGTATTTTAATTTCAGAAATTTTTTTTTTGTATGTTGTACTTTTTTTGGGTAAAGATGGTATCTCACTATGTTGCCCAGACTGGTCTTCAACTCCTAGGCTCAAGCGATCCTCCAACCTTGACGTCTCTAAGTTCTGGGATTATAGTCATACACCACTACGCTTGGCCCAATTTCAGAAATATTAAAATATAAGTAAATACATGTCTTTAGGTTCAAATTGAGGTGTTATCTCTTGACCCAGGGATAAAAAAAGGAGGCTTCTGTCTTCCTTGTTTTTTCTCTCAGAGGTTGCTTTTTCCACCACAAGGCAGGAGCAGGCAGACACTGGACATGATCTATACTCTAACTTCTGCTCCTCCTTATCTCTCATTTCACTGCTAATTTCTCCTGTGTTCCTGTTCAAACCTCTGGTGATGGCAGCTTGGTGAACCTTTGGGGGAAAATAAAATTCAAAACCAAACAAAGAACTCTTTCTGGTCATTGCCATTGAAAGCTCCCTAATTATTTCAGCGGAAGTTCTCTGGAGCACACAATTTCACAAACATCTGAATCAAGTGTGTTCTCTTGGATTCACCAGAGTGTGAAGATTCTGCTGCTGGACTCTGTGCAAGGAGACTGATTGAGGAAATTGTGGAGTATCCCAGCTGCAGGCAGCTGTTGCTCTGAGGAATTGACTGCCCTGGACTTACTTGGGATGCTCGTCTCTAATTGCTGCATCTGTAAGCCACTGCTTGTAGCTAGATTGGGCTGAAAAGTACCACAGGTCTGTTGTGGAAAAAGCCGCCTATTTCTAGGTTCTGCAGGAGGATCTACGTCATCATAACTGAATCTTAGCACGTAATTCCATCTGCCCGCATAGATGACCCCTTTGTCTAACAGACAGGGCAGATCACATGAAAGGAGGTCCCCCAAGATGCTTGTGTTTAGTGCATGAAAATACAGCTGTATATGTTTTCCATTTTGCCTTCTTCAGTTTTCTTTGAGCACTGGAGTTTGTTTATTTGTTTTATATTTTGGTAGCTAGGGACCAAGATATTTCTTTTCTGTTTGTCTCTTCAAACTCTTTTTTTTACAGTTTAACAAGTCAAATACAAAACTCAGGGGAGTGAATAAGCCTCATGATGGCATTGAGCATAGCATCACGTTATTGATTGGATATACTGCACTGGAATGCTGTAGAATAGCCCCAAACCAAAAAATTTCAGATGCCTGAAGCTTTGAGCTTTCCAATTAGGCTGAAAAGTTCCCCTGATAACCAGTAGTGCTGAAGCTTTTAATATTGTTCAACTCTATCAGTTATCAGCAACCTTTTCTGGCTGTGAAGGCCAGAGATCACTTGATGTCAGTGAGGTAGTTCCTCTAACCCATTTGCACACTTTCTGATCAAATATTCCATCTGGGGGGGGGGGGAATCTTCAGTTTAACGTAAACTGATCATAATTGGGAGCAAATGCTTCTTTCCCTTCTTCTATGCTATCTCCTCCTGTGCAGTCTATTTTGCATCCAAAGATACATTTGAAAGTCGAAATCCCTTAGAGCGAAATATTCTAAACTGACAGAAGAATTTCTAGTGGCACACCAGCCTAGAGCCATGTTTTTATGAGGACATCACTTTCTATTTCTAAGCTGCAGCATGCACTCTTGCTTTCTTATGGCTGGGAGCCATGCCACATCAACTTGCCTCCCTCTCAGCTTTTAATGTTTTTTTAATGGAGTCCAGTTTTCCGCCTAAGTTATGGCTAGCTTTCTGACAAACCATCAGACACCTAAGTGACCATAATGGAGGTGTCCAGATGTGACATGGGAAAAGGCAATGGCACGCTTTCATGCCTTTCAACAAAACCATATTATCACCATTCGTTTTTACCTGCCTCTGGGTTTGCCATCAAGGCTAAAAGGGGCTTAAGAAAACGTTTTAAAAATTAATATATGATATGAAGTCTTTTCTTGTAAGCCACGAGCAAAAGCAATCATTTCTAAATCTGGCTGGCATGGTGAGTGTGCTGCTGTTCTGTGAAATAGCTAAACTGCTGCATATTTTTCTCCAGCATAGGGTTGACCAGGTAGCGATCAAGTCTGTTATCTAATGAAACAAAGTAAACATACTTTCCAGGTACCTGGTTGTTTAGAAGAATTTAAGAAAATAATTGTTGGGCAACCCTCCTTCAAGTCCCCTCCCTCTGCTGGGAGCTTTTCTGTCTTCTAATAAATTTCTACTTACTCAGAAAAAAAAAAGAGAGAGAGAAAAGAAAAAAAAAAGGATTGCTAATTACAATGAATGGCGAATCATTGAAGATGCAAGTTCATCAAGGGATATGGGCATTTCTATGACAAAGGAAGAAGTATGTGCTCTTGAAAGTCAACAATTGATTTTATTTTTTATTTTTTTGAGATGGGATTTTTCACTCCTTCACCCAGGCTGCAGTGCAGTATCATGATCGTGGCTCTACACAGCCTGGTCTCAAGTGATCCTTCCACCTCAGCTTCCCAAGTAGGTGGGATTACAGGTGCATGCCAATACGCCTGGCTAATTTTTTGATTTTTGGTAGAGATGAGGTCTTACTATGTTCCTCAGGATGGTCTTAAACTCCCGGGTTCAAGCAATCCTCCGGCCTCAGCCTCCTAAAGTGTTGAGATTACAGGCATGAGTCACAGTACCCAGCAGAAAGTCAGCAATATAGAGGGTTTATCTGTACAATTTGGAAGACATTTGCAGAGCATTTGGTAATTAAATATGCCCTCAGCTGAGCAAGGATGCTTGGGGTTGTCCTGCTGGCAAGTAAAAGCGAAGTGTTCCTGCTAGGCCTGGGTTTTAAGATTTCTGCTTGGAATCATGTGAGTTGTCTGCAGCACTGAGGTTGTACAACCCATACGATAATGTGAGTAAATCACTCCTGACGAAAAAACCAGCAGAATTTATCTTTCTAGGCTCTCCACAACTCACTCTATCTTGTCATTCAGGTTTTAGTTCAACATCTGTACCTCCTCAATGAGGCTTTCCCTCCACGTTATCCCCACTTCATCTTACCACATTCCTTGATTTTTATTTCATTAATCCCTGACTGAAATGATTGTCTTCCTTGGTTTGCTGGCTCATTGAATGTCCCTGCCTGGTAGAAAATAATCTCCTTGAGAGTAAGATGCTCCCTGTTTCCTTCATGTCTGATCTCCCAGTTTCTTGAAGCAGTGCTGGCACTCTTCAATAAGCAGAAGTTGTGTGCATGAATGAATGAATGAAAGCAGAATGCTGACTATAATATAGCTCCAAAGGAATTATAGAACAAAGGGTGATTCATAGGCATAGTATAAAACATAGGCTACCATCGAGTCTAAAATGTAGCCTGGGCCAGACGTGGTGGCTCACTCCTGTAATCCCAGTGCTTTGGGAGGCCAAGGTGAGAAGATTGCTTGACCCCAGGAGTTCAAGATCGGCCTAGGCAAAATAATGAGAACTCGTCTTTACAAAATAAAAAGTAAAAAAAGAATTAGCTGGGCGTGATGGTGCGTGCCTTTAGTCCCAGCTACTCAGGAGACTGAGGTGGGAGGATTACTTGAGGAGCCCTGGAGTTCGAGGCTGTGGTGAGCCATGATCATACTACTGCACTCCTGTCTGGGCGACAGAGTGAGCTTTCTTTTAAACCAATCTTTGCCTCATTTTTTATATAGGTAAAAACTGTTCTTGCCTAAAAAGCAGTTTGGCTGATGAAGTCTGAGACTCATTAGAAAGATTAGTAACTTAGGAAAAAAAAAACTTTGAATTTGATGTATTTTACAGGAAAGGGACTAGTTTGATGTTGCCCAGCTTAACTTTCATCCAAATTGCCCTTGAGGAATGTTTTTTAATCGGATGCATTTTTATCCGTATCTTCTGAAGTGGCTTTTTTTTTTTTTTCTTTTTGCAGGAGGGTAGAGGAACATGGAAAGCAGCTTTTATTCACGCCAAGGACAACTCACTCACATACAACGAGGGGCAGAAGAAGTCTCTAGGTGCGTGGATTAGCCTGAGGGTACCATGGGTGCATGCGTCTTACTTAGAAACCTCTTTAAAAATAATTACCTTGTGATTAGGATCTGATGCTAATGGTATGTTTTCATTGAAAAAGACTGAGGTCTTTATTTTCTGCGACAGCGAATGAACTTCTTTTCACCTTGTTCCTGGTTGTTTTTTCCTCCATTGCCTTAATATATATATTTTAATATAGTCCCAGGTGCACAGGTGCCTACATCTTCTTGCAAATGGTAGATTTTCAAATGAAATGATTCCTCTTCATATTATAATTCCAGTTAAGTTAAATATAAAATAGTTAATACACCTCTTTAAAAATATTTAAGGTGTATATTTTCTAGGTGGTGTATAAATAGGAAAAAGGAATTAACATTGTCTTACAGGCTGGGTGTGATGGCTCATGCCTGTAATGCCAGCACTTTGGAAGGCCTATGGGGGAGGATTGCTTGGGTCCAGCAATTCAATACCAGCTTGGGCAACAAACATAGTGAGATCTCATCCCTACAGAAAAATTAAAAAATAAGCTAAACCGGGCTCGGTGGCTCAGCCTGTAATCCCGCGCCTTTGGGAGGCTGAGGTGAGTGGATTGCGCCCGCAGGTTCGAGACCCACCTGGGCAGCGAGACCTCATCTCTACAGTAAATCAAAAAATCAGCCAGGCGTGGTAGCGCATGCCTGTAATTCCTGCTACTTGGAAGGCTGAGGCGGAAGGATCGCTGGATCCCAGCAGGTCGAGGCTGCGGTGGCCGGGAGCAGCCACTGCACTCCAGTCTGGGTGACAGAGTGAGACTCCAACTAAAAAATAAAATAAAATAAAATAAAATAAAATAAGCCAGGCGTGGTGGCACATGCTTGTACTTGGGTGACTGAGACAGGAGGATCGCCTGAGCCCAGGAGGTCAAGTTTGTGGTAGCTGTGATTGTGCTACTGCACTCCAGCCTGGGCGACAGAGTGAGATGATTCTGGCTCAAAAAAAAAAAAGACTGAGTGCGGTGGCTCAAACTTGTAATCCTAGCACTTTGGGACTAGTCTGGCAACTTGGCAAGACCTCGTCTCTACAATAAAAAAAAAAAAAAAGATTAGCAGAGCATAGTGGTGCCTGCCTGTGGTTCCAGCTACTTGGAAAGGATCACCTGAGCCCAGCAGGTTGAGGTAGTGGCCGTGAGTGTGCCACTGCAATCTACTCTGTTAGACAGAGTGAGACTCTGACTCAAAAAAGAAAAGAAAAGAAAAGAAAACCCAGAAAAACACATTGTCTTATAGATTCTGTCTGTGCGTCTGTTTAATATTCCTACCCAAGGAAGCCAATCTGGAGGAAGGGTTTACAACGAGTTTAACTAAATGTGAGAAACAGAAATAGAGGTACGCTATAGTGGTTTTTGCAGCCAAAGCTCATTAATACAACTTTGGTTATGTTCAAATACTTTCAAAAAATGGGTTTGTAGACAAGTTTGTGACAGTCTTTAATCAGTAACCACAGCATGTCTCTCTCATCTCTTCAGTGATTCCTAGAGTATGGATGATGGCATTGCCTGAGTTGAGAGTCACATATGAAGAAGCCAAAATCGATTGTCTTGATGTCATCGAGTCACAGCTCACCAATCTCATGTCAATGTGATGGGTTAGGAATTGTCAGGCTACAGTTATTGGCTTTTGAAAAATGAGGAGTCAACACAATCTGCTTTTAGGAAGGGACATGTATGTTAATAGACTATTTTGGGGTGGGGAAAAAAATGAATGTAAATCCTTTATTGCCAAAGTTACTTTAAGCGGTTCATATATGTTTTCTAAAATAAAAATGTGTTGAAAATGAAGGGCGTTCTGTGGAAGTTTGCAGGGTTCATATCTGGGTGTAGCCTCCTGGAATTTGCTTTATGTGCCCCCCCCCACACACACACACAAAGAAGGTGGGGGTAAGAGAAGAGAGGTCCCGGAGTAAGAAGGAAAGGAGAAAAAAGAGGGATGAGGAACAAGAATATGGACAAACTGGAGTCCCATCTGTAAATTGGGGAGGAAAGGGTGCCCTTAAGAAGTTTGCATGTAATATTTAACTGGTGCATTCACATGACATCTTGACTTAATAAAAGGAAAAGAAAAGAAAAATGAAAGAAAAAATCCTCAGCAAGACAATAAAAAGTTTCCTCCTCACGCCCACCGCCTCGGGGTTTTTTCCTTTGAGCCTCAGAGCTTATCCCACTGAAACTCATCAATTTTTGCCTTCTTGCTGGAAGTGCCCGAACACATTTGAAGCTTCACAGCCACCCCTTGGGGTGAGAAGGTTTCACAATGCCTGTGGAGCCTCACAGCCTGTCCCCAGGGAAGGCCAGGGGGCCACAGGGCAGGGATCAAGTGCCCTTCTCCCTGCCAGCCAGCAAACAAAGGACCCAACCTCAAAGCTCCTGCCCCAGTGCGTGACCTCCGGGCCAAAGGCAAAACATTTTATCTCTGGGTCCTAGTGACATAAGCTCCTCGGGCCCTGCAATTGTGGTTTATGATGTGACTAGAAACCTTTGATGGAATTACTATTGCCTTCTATTTCTCTGCCCAGCCATTTATTATTCTGTATATTTTTGAGGGCTGTGGGAAACTTTCATAACCAAAGCCCGAGCCAGGCGAAAACTTGTTCTATTTGGAATTTGTAATGAAGTCAAAACATGGCCTGGATTTTCTGAAAGGTTCCTTTGGCTGCTTGCAACAGCCCCGGGGCACAATCAGATGGGGATGGAGAAGGCCTGGGAGCAGATTTTGTTACCAAGAATAGGACAGAACAATATTTGCCTCCAAAACACTGGGGCTGCTATTTACCTTCTCAGCTGGAAGAAGTGAGAGATAAAGGCACATTTCATATAAAGCGTAAATACCAATTCTTTAATTTCCAATTTTCAGGATTTTAATTTTTCTTAACTCTCCCCTAGATCAAAGGTTAGGAAGAATGTTTAGTGTATTTGATTTCCTGACCCGAGGGAATAAATTCTTTATTTCAGAAGTTTCTACCCCCAAAAGAGCTGTTATTTTACTTGAAATAAGTACAGAGAAGTATAAAGGGTATGGCATTTTAAGGTGACTATGAATGTTGAAATGCTTCCGTTTGTGTTCTGAGTGTGTCAGCAATGGATGCCCTTATTTCAGAGAACGGCGATCAACAACCAAGTTTCGCTGCGTTTGGACTGAAAACTTCGCCTATGTTTCAGAGGCCTTTGCAAATTATTTACTGGCTTTAACCTGGTCCCTCAAAAGCAGTCTCAGTTCCTAACAAAAGTGGCAAGTTGTAAAATGTAGTTCCTAATTTTTATTTAAGTCAAAGGTTAATAGTAAAAGTGTTGGGGGGGTGGCCCCTAACTGTTTCAAGTTAATGTTTATTTTTCACCATCATTTAAAGAATTTTTTAAGGCCCTTATTTCACTGCTGAAAGCAGAGTAAGAAACTCAGATTTCATGCCCTGGGGCTTGAATAAAGGAATAAAAACAACACAACATTTGCATCTATTTAAGTATCTCAGTTCTAAAAGTCCCTTCATGGTAAGAGGGGGGAAAGCATATCTCTAGGTTAAATGAAGCTTTTCTGAGATATTTGCTGAAAACACAATTTGGAGACAGATAATCATTGTCGGAAATGACCTAGGAATTCAAGGCCTCCTGATTGAAAACACAAAGCATAGGAAGGTGCATTCTCTTGCCTCTCTGCCACCCGGATATCAATGAACATCAGCTAAAGGTGGCTGGAGAACCAATTTCATGCATCTACTGTACGAGAAAATGAACTGAGCCAAGGGCAAAAATAAAATTATACAAATGTTATTATAGACTAGCCTGCTTCTGTCCTAGTTTAATTCAAATTTTAGTGCTGCAGGCAGTGCTCCCGGCAGTAGCCTTCCTGAATAAATCAACATTTGCTTACATCTAAATTATTAGGGAGGCATGTGACTTTGTTTATTGTATAAATTATACGCAAGGTTAAAGTATTAACTGTTCAACTGGCTTTGTTTGGTCACCTTCTCAACTCTCCCCCAAATCTTCTCTCCCCAAAGTAGGAAATAAAAATCTGAAACTACTAAATTTTTTTTTTTGTAGACAAACCAAATAACAAAGCTGCAAAGCATTGTGAACCTGAGGTTTTGGACAAGAACACGGGCAAAGGTAGGTGGGGAGACAGTCTTGGCAATTAGAAAAAAAAGAAAGGAGCCCATGAAATTGTTCACCTGAGCTCTCTGATGTGGTGTCTGCACAAAGGGAAATGGTGGTCTGGTAAACAATCAGTTAAGTTGATTAAAGCGGCAACCAAGTGGGATACTTTAATACAAAACTAAAGAAAGCCTTTTGGCTGGGATTTCAGTAAGCAAGGAATTTCAAACTATATTGTGATGCTGGACACAAACAGTTGTATTGCTTTTACCTGTTAGAAAGTTAAATGTAGACTCTGGAAAATGCACACAGGAATGATGGGCATTTTTGTCTCTGAGCATCATTGTGAATGACTCTCAGATATGTTAAGGATATAAGGATGGGTTTGGATCACTAGACAATTTGACTTTCTATTTCGACAAACTAGATATCAGGTGTGTCCTATTATGAGAAAATTATAAATAAACATGAGGGGCTAGTGAGGTGGTTTACACCTGTAATTCCAGCACTTTGGGAGGTTGAGGCAGGAGCATTGCTTGAGTCCAAGAGTTTGAGACCAGTTTGGGTAGCAAAGTGAAACTTACAAGAAAAAAAGAGAAGAAAAGAAAAAAATAGTGGGGCGTGATGACGCATGCCTGTAGTCAGCCCCAGCTACTGGGGAGGTTGAGGTAGGAGAATTGCCTGAGTTCAGGAAGTCAAGGCTGCAGTGAGCCATGACCGTGCCACTGCACTCCAGTCAGGAGTGCAGTGAGACCCTGACTTAAAAAAATAAATAACATCAAGGGTTCAGAGCAGCCAAATCAGAGGTAATTATTTGCTTTACAAAAGGTTCTTCTTTTTACAAGATCATCCGCAGTAGTCTTCTTTTAATCGTTGACCTTTCTCACAGTAATAAATTAATTTGTAAAATCATAATTAAATTCAGTATTTTCCAATAATGTATGTGTGTATAGATATAGATATAGATATAGATATATGTATTTAAAAATTTATTTCTCAAGACCATGTAGAAACATTGCAGGTCAGAAGATTTTTGTATTGAATCATTTTCCCCGATTAATTTCTCAAATCTAAGTTGTGCTCAAGAGGAGAATTCATTTCCCGTTCAGCTATTCAAAATTCTTTCTCTCTGCATCATAAGTTGGGCTTTGAGATCTTGGACAATGATTCTTCAAATGTAGCCAATGGACCGCCTGCAAGTACTACTCCGGCATGGAGCCCAAGAATCTGCACAGGGACAAGCCTCCCCTAGACTGGGACACACATGAACTCACATTTGAGAGCTACTTCTGTCGGGTCTACCCTCATCTGAGTTATGGAGCGCCCTCTGTTCTCTAGCATGTGTTTAATCCCATGTGAATGGGACTCTATCTCCAAACACATCTCAATCCTGCCCTGTTTTGGTTAAGGAGGGTCTCTTTGGAGCATACCCAATGACTCCGTGGTAGATGTGGATTTGTATTGAGATGCCCACTGATGAAAAATTGCCACAGGTAACTACAATTCTATTTGAAGTAATGTATCAAATGTGAAAGTGAGTGGGAGGTTGGGTGCAGTGGTTCATTCCTGTAATCCTAGCACTTTGGGAGGGTTGAGGTGGAAGGATCGCTTGAGGTCAGGAGTTTGAGACCGGCCTGGACAACATAGTGAAACCCCGTCTCTACAAAAAAAAAAAAAAAGATTAAAAAAAAAAAGTAAATTGCTTTCCACTCAGTCTCTGTAAGAAATGACTTTAAAATTTTTTAAAATTTATTTTAAACAAGAACCACTCGAACTGCGTCCTCTCCCCTTATGTGTCCCTCTCCTGGAGGAGGAAGAGAATGATCATCCATGGCAAAGGCAGTTGCACTGAAGCAACACCAGCTTCATGCTCAGGAGATAATGCTGCGCAGCCTCCTTGAGGTTTCAGTGCTCTACACGATCCGAGAAGCTTCTCTAGTAAAAAGATTATAGAAACGATCCATGTTGGTGCATGGTGGCGCATGCCTATAATCCCAGCGCTTTGGGAGGTTGAGGTGAGAGGATCGCCTGAACCCAGGAGTTCAAGATCAGCCTGGGCCACATGGTGAGATCTTGCCTCTACAAAAAATTACAAAAAAATAAGCTGAGTGTGGCGGTGCAGGCCTGTTGTCCCAGCTACTTGGGAGACTGAAATGGAAGAATCATTTGAACCCAGGAGGTTGAGGTTGCAGTGAGCTGTGGTAGTGCCACTGCACTCCAGCCTGAGTGGCAGAGTGAGATCTTGACTCAAAGGAAAGAAAAGAAAAAAGAAAGAAAATGATCCCTATAAGTAAAGTCTTTAGAAGTAGCTTTTTAATTGCAGTATATCAGAGTGGGCAAAGTAGAGATTTTGGTACTAGAAAACCTGGTTTCAAATAAATTTCGTTGCTTACCATCATGTGACATTTGGCAAAATGAGGAATGTCTCTGAGCTCAGTCTCCCTGACTGTGATATGGAATAACAAATGCAAATATGCTGGGAGTTGAGAGAATGATGGATAATATCCAAAGAATATTTGAGATACAGTAGCTGTTTCATAGATGATGATGACCATTATTCACCATTTACAAATAGCTGTTGAACACACAGATAGTGGACCTAAAAGGTTAACCAGTGAAATG